TCCGAGACTCCTGTCGAGGCCGCTTCCCGCTTGCTTGCGACTTGTACTTTCCATAGTACGTGCAGACAAACGTCTTCGCATATTGAGCCCAGGATGCAGATACCTTAGCAGCCGTGGAGTTCGTCGCATCGATCCTGGCGTTTCGTTCTGCCGCCGTGGCGTTGGTACGACGCCGGAAAACCTACCAAATATAGTGGTAAGCCCGAAACTGTTTGCCAACCGTATTTGTAAGCTTACCTGGGATGCGTAGTCTGCCAGGAACTCGTCGAGGGCCTCCCATGACTCGAACACTCTCTCCTGGGGCGGCAAAGCTACGACGCGGGTTTGTGTACCACCCTCGCTCGTGCTGCTTGTTGTTTCCGACGAATCTGCAGCACTCGCACTGGGCGGTGGCTGCCAGTTGTCACCAGTGGACCCTCGGATGCTTCGTCCCCACTGGTGTCGATCTCGTCGTCTGCTAGTGGCCGCTTCTGGGCGGCGCGTGTGCGCAGGTCCATGTTTCTCTCGCAGCAGGCCGCGCGTCACACTGAAAGGGGGGATAATATTTTGTGGCTGACAACGGTATACGCTTGGTACACACTATACATGATACGGATACGGAAGCGATCAGCAAATCGGAGCCGGCTGGCAGACGTGCAAGGGATTGGTTAGCCCAGTCGGGCAAATGCTTACTCTCTTTCTTCTTTAAGCTGGCGGAACACGAATGCCATTAGCTGTTTCTTTCGCTTCGATGCTTACAACGATGAATAGTGCATTATCAAGCTGGCACATTCTCACTTGCAACCTTTAGTCGCTAGGGAGAGAGAACCTGTGCATATCTTATACCCCAACCAAGAACGAGGCGGAGCGCTCGAGAAATATTTCGAGGCTCAATGGATCGGAGACCTTGACTCAAAGATGGAGCCATCCAACGTCTTACCATTCACAGGATTGGAAAGTATAACTTGCAATTTTTCAAGTCTGGAGGAAGTATAAGCGAATGTTGAACACATACAATAGTTAATAGTGTATAATATAACCGAGTGTTGGGCAGCATTGTGAAGTTGTCTGTTGCCAACACCTTGGACACCTTTCCGTCCTTGAGTCTTTGGCGACGCACGCGAACTGGAACCATTTCTCCAAGCTGAGAAGCCAGCTCCTTCACCCACGTGGCAATCCAGTCAACGTCAAGTACAGCAGCGTTGAGGTTCAGGCGGCCTCCATGCGGCTTCACGCCCAGGATCCCATCATCTAACTGCGTCTTGTAGCGCGAAATGGTCGCGGGGCCAACACAGTAGCACTGACAGAAGGCCCCTCGACAGACAGCACCAGCAAACGGCAGGAAATAGACAAAACGCTGGCGCTGGCCAGTACTCCGACTTCGCTCGGGTGCGCCAGCCTCCATCGATACCGCCAGCGCGGTAATAATACTTGTCTTCTTTTCGGCAGATGTCATTGCGTCCACCGCACTGACGAGTCTTTCAACAGCTTCTGTCTTCCCTGAGATGCATCGTTGTTTACACGAGTCGGCCGCAATCAGATCCTGCACCCTAGATTCAATAGCCAGATTCATTGGCATCTCCTCCTCATCACTGTCTTCGTCACGCCCGCCCTCTTCGCCCTCAGACAGAGAAGGCGATGTCACCTCACATTCGCTCTCGCTTGTCGACAGCGCTTCCTCCTCCGAGTCGGAGCTGCTCGGGATCTCGGCGTTTTCGAATTTCATGGCAGCTGTGAACTTAACGAATGAGGAGAGTGAGTGGCCCAGGCGCCTCAAAACACAAAATCCACTTTTCTCGGCATTTCACTTAAGTCCGATCCGGCCAACGGAATCTTCAATCGCCTTTTTAAACCTTGAAATGGTGGATAAGTATCATTTCGTTTTGCGTTGCCTCATATTATAAGCGAATGTTGAGCACATAAAATAATGAATGGTGTAAGCAGCTGATGCTTGCCACAGCAGAGGCTGAGCTCGATATCAAAGTGACTTTCCTGTCCAGCTTTCGTTCTATCGTCGCCAAACATTGCCGAACGATTCGTATCCAGTCTCCACGCAGTAACGTGTGCGACACGTGCACGATCTACAAGTTCAGTCTGCGTGGTGTTCCAAGTGCTGCGTTGACGGAGCTGTTTGGTAAGCACACTGAAGCAGCGCGTATTATGAGGTACGGCGTTAAGTATCAATTCGATTTGTGCTGGCGATAAGTATCATTTGGTTCTAATTAGTGATCGTTGCTATTCCTAGGTTGGAGTACAAGAAGGATGTTGCGGAATGTTCGGAAGCAGCCATCGTCATTACGATGGACTTCTCTCAAAAGCTGACGCTGCCATCTGTGGCGGCAACACCCTCAGACTGGTACTTCATGTCACTTACGTCCCTTCCGCTGAAGCCAAAGAAACTCACTGTTTACGCGGACAACTGTGGAGGGAAGAATAAGAGCAACTTCGTGTTGGGCCTCCTACTGCTGATTGTTCAGCTTGGGTGGATCGTCGAGGTAAACTATAAGTTATTTGTCAAGGGGCATACCAAGAATGCATGTGACCGCGGATTCGGGCAGATGAAACGGCATGTGCAGCGCCAAGATTGCTGGACGATGGATTAGCTGACGAAGGCCGTTGACAAGTCGTCTAGTGCGAACCAGTGTATACGTGTGTCGGATGAGCGCTTTTCGCAACTACAAGTTTGTCGTGGATGACATGTACAAGAAGGTCAAGTCCATCCAAAAGTACCAGCTCTGTAGAATGCGGCATGAGACGTTGACTGCCGAGTTCTTCCCGAAGCGGAGCCTGTTCTGCACGATCTGAGGCGCGTCTACGACAGAGTTCAGGTTGACGAAGATCACGCAAAGCGGTTTCTTGCTGTGTACCTGGAAACCCTTCCACGACCGACGATCAACGCCGGAAAAGCAACTCAGATATACAAGTCAATCCGGCAGTACGTTCCAGCAGAATATCAGAGTGACAGTATGTATGCGGCACCAAGTCCGGAGCAAGAAGATGAGGCAAAAGCAATCAAGAAAGCGCCCCGCGAACGCAAGAAGCACGATCCAAACAGCAACAAGCAGGCTGACACTGATAAGTCTTCCGACAAAATGAAATGATACCTAACGCTATTTTGAACGACATGATACTTATCGGCGTATTCAAATGACTGTATCATATGTCACTTCTATGCTACCATTACGAAGGCGAACTTAGCGCTGACCCCGATTTTGAGCATGTTGCAGAGCTCATTGGATGAAACCGGCTATATATTTGGATCCCCCGCCTAATTTTGCCCTACATCAGCCAATAAAAGAAAAATGCGAACTTAAGAAAAAATGCACTTTAAATTTTCACATGGCCATTCCTCCACGGGAATCTATGTTGGAGTTGTATCAAGTACATGAATCGAAAGATCGCTAGAAGCTCTTTCGAGAGCACTAGATATATCGAAAAGTAGGTTTATTGGTTTAGTATCATTTCGTTTTGCGTTGCCTCATTTGCGAGATTGGACACATAAGCGAACTTGACGCTGACGGGCTGAACCGAAGGTCAATTACATGCTTATTTCTCAGGACGGAGACGACCAAGACGTCCGTGTTGCTGTTTGAGTTCGAAGCAGCGCTAACAGAGCCGTCGCTACCACCCGGACACTCCGCTCAAACCAGGCCGCGGGGGGGGGGGGGGGGGCGGGGGGGGGGGGGGGGGGGGGG